TCCGTTAGGTAGGGCTTAAAGAAAAATGAAGCGATTTGCTTCGGAGAGAACTTGCTCTGAGAGCGCTGGGATGGCATTAGGGAGACGTCGGACATGGCTAGGTAGTGAGAGATGGATTGTTTGAGGTATGCGAAATTGCAAAGTGAGATCGAGTCGGCTGAAGCAATTTGCAAGGAGCTCAGAGCCAACGAAAATCTGGTGGCTGTCGGTCAAGGCCGGCAATTAATTTCGTGTAGGTTTACATAAAATCCATAAATAAATTTTCAGTCTGTAGCCAAGGCCGTAAATAAATTATTATCTGAGATTTTAAAAATATATTTTCAGTAAATATATTTTTGCGGATCCCTCACTGCATACTATGAAGTTCATAGTATGAACTTCATAGTATTCATGGCATGAGCATGGTTCATGCATATCCTGGTCGTATCGTCCATCGGAAGTCTGCCGACAATTACGAGCAGCGACAACGTGCGATAGACCACCTCGGACGGGCGGAGTCAGGCGTGAACTCTGTGTGACATCGTAGTCAGATCCGCTCCGAACTTCTCCATGAGTTAATCATCCGCCCGTCCGTCCACCTTGACCAATTACGCACTCTTCTTCTGAATCCTTTCCATCGTCTGTAGACGAATTCCAACGCGATGTATATTGGCATCTTTCAGCCATCTCCGTGAGTCACCGGTTGTTGTCACATGTCAACGGCATTTGCCTCTTAAGCGTGTGCACCTTCTTCGCGTCGCAGTTGTTGTATCGAAGAGGACCGGCACCGCGGTGCTCACTTTCGGATTTGCAGCGTAGGGCAGATAAGACTCTTGCAATGCCGTCGTCCTCTGACGCGTATGACGCGTTTTCCTCGCCTGCCGCGCATACGGCCGTGGACATGGAGTTCAGCTCCATGCAAAGCGCGCAGTCGTCCGTCCCGCGCTCCACCAGCAGCGACAAGACGCTGTACGACCACGACTTGGTCATGGTCTTCCCGCGACGTGAAGGCGGCGAGCTCAAGAAGCCCGACGACTTCACTCTAGACAGCTTCGTGCACCTCATGATGGGCAAGGACCCGGACCGCAGCCACCGCTCCAACAAAATCGTAGTGGACCCGTTCCAGCGTGTGTTGCGCACGCCGCGCTGCTACCTGGACGAGCGCGGCTGCGACGTCGTCATGGACTCGAGTAATGATCATAGCGAGGAGAGCGAGCAGCGCCGCTTAGAGACGCAGGAGCAGCTGCTTAAGAAGGAATACGAGCAATTCATCGGTAACACTGAGGCCACAACCGAGACGCGGTTCTGCGAGCTCGTGGCCACCGCCATCGCGCGTCGTGTGCAGCTCGCATGTGGCCTTACTACGCGCATGTTCTTAAGCTGTGACGCTGACGAGATCATTATGACTATCAAGGCAGACAATGATGACCTCAGAATCGAGGCAGACCGTACCAACTACAGACTGCAGGTCAGCAACAAACCGTTCGACAAGACATTACACGTGAAGAAGCTCAAGACTCTGCAGCGTGAGATGGGAGATAAAGAATGGCAGAACTCCATTGACCATTTAAGACATACTCGCGGCTGTGCTAATGAAGATGCCGAATATCCAGAGATGGATCCGTTGTTAGTTTCACGCGGAGAAGAGTTCCATCCGGAACTACGCAAGGCTGTAGATATTTGGGGGCATACCGAAGAAGCTGATGGTTTATTTGTCGAAGACGACACCTGTCGTCGTGTCCAGGGAAACCATTGGGATCGCTTTGTGACGTCGATTTTTGCTCTACCTTACGATCCGTTGACGTACTTTGCTCCGTTCGCAGAGTATCGCCATGAGGAGAAGTACCAGCCCTTCTACCGACGTTACCCGATCAAGTGGGGACAGAAGAAGGAGGAGACGTTGTTCTCGCAAAAAGATCGTATTCGTCTCGCAGAAGGAATCGTAGAGCGTCATATTAACGCAGACGCTCTGGAAGCTGCTGGGTATCTGGAGGGTCAAATGTTCGCTCTCCACGACGCGAAGGCGCTGCACGACCTGCGGCACTCGTGGGCTCTGCACTGGACCATGTTGTACCAACCTTTGCACAAGATCCGCTACTACTTCGGAGAGAAGATCGCGCTGTATTTCGCCTGGCTCGAGTTCTACACCAAGATGCTGGTCTTCCCGGCAGTCGCGGGTATCATCACATTTGTGTATATCGAAGCGCGTCAGGCTGTCACGGGTACCAACCAGCAAGGCTACATTCTCATCGCCTTCGCTGTGTTCGTGGTGTTATGGTCGTCACTGTTTTCCGAGCTGTGGAAGCGTAAGAATGGTCTATTGGACTCGCTCTGGGGTCTCAGTGGTTTGCAGGAATCATTCCGGTATCGCCCTCAATTTCGCGGAACTAAAAGTTACCACCCGGTCACTGACGCCGAGGAGGTGACATTCGAGAGCAAGATGAAGCGCCGACGTGCCTTCATCGTGTCCATCCTGGTCGTGACGTTTATGGTCGGTATTGTGATTGTCGCTCTCTTTGGTCTGTTCGTCTTGAAGCACTGGATCAACGACAGTGACAACCTGGAGAAGAACAACATTAACACCAAGTATCAGACGCCCTTGACGTTCGGTGTCACTGTGGTTAACGCCATCCAGATTCTCGTGCTCAATACGGTCTACCGCACCGTGGCGCGTAAGCTGAATGACCTCGAAAACCACCGCACAGACGCTGAGTACGAAAACTACTTGGTCATCAAGGTCTTCCTGTTCCAGTTCTGCAACTCGTTCGCTTCGTTTTTCTACATTGCGTTCGTCAAGCGTATTGCTGAAGGTTCTTGTCTGTATGAAGACGACTGCATGCAGGAACTGCGCGACCAGCTGCTGACTCTGTTCATTATCCGCATTGTGGTGGGCAACACGACGGAAGTGGTGGTGCCGTACTTGAAATACCGCTACCAGCTCTTCGCTGAGCGCAAAGCAGCGTACACCGAAGAAAAGACTGGCCACAACTACATCGAAGAGCAGGCGAAGCTGGTGCCTTACGAGAGCAACGAGGCGTTCGAGGACTATAACGAGATGGTCATCCAGTACGGCTTTATCAACTTGTTCGTGGTGGCGTTCCCGCTGACGCCTCTGCTTGCATTAGCCAACAACGTACTAGAAGTTCATGTCGACGCCGTGAAGCTCTGTTTTGTGCATCGTCGACCGTTCCCCCACCCGGCGAAGGACATTGGCGTCTGGTTTTACATTCTCCGATTCATGACGTACATCGCGCTCGGTACAAACTCGGCTCTTATTCTCTGGACGTCCGACTTGTTTGAAGACCAGACGGGAACTGTCCGAGCCTTCAGCTTCGTAGTGGCGTGTCAGGTGTGCTTGGTTTTGGCTGTCCTTGTCGAGCGTGTGGTGCCCGATACACCCCACGAGATTAGACTGCTGCAGGAGCGCTACGAACACATTGTGAACGTGGTGTTCAAGGGACTGTTCGAGGGCGACAACTCGAAACTTAACGAGGTTGCAGAGCGTCTGGACCTTCAGATTTATCCCAACCATGAATGGGAAGAATCGAAGCAGCACTATGCGTAGTCCTCTTCCAGACTGCCGATCATATACCGATCAAGAAGACGACATTTTGGTGGATAATGAACATTCTTGTAGACGAATCGCGTGATCTTGACTGTCATATTCAGTTCGAACACTTTTCAATATTCATCGTACGTCTGTAGTACGGCAGAGTCGCATGATTGATGCCGCAGTCTTGGATATCTGCTCTCCTATCGATGGACGATTCGGGTGATTTTCAGCTTCGCTTACAGCTCCATCCAACCGAGAAGTCTGCTTTTGAGTAGCCAAAGCCTCCACAGTGCTGAGAACGTTTCTGTGCTCAGCAAACCAGTTACTCACTTGGTACCTTTTGGTTTCACAGCGAAGGCAAGTTTTCAGTGTATGTAGCACGCGTAGCAGAATGATTCCATTCATGTTGCCTTCCAGGCATCTCGAAAGCGAACTGTACAAAACATCAACGTGTCAGAAACTGAAAAGTTGAAACTAGTTTGGAGTTGTTGGAACTTACCTCAGATCGGAATCGTTAAAACCCGAGGGAACGTTCTTGCTTTGAGAAAAAAATACGCCATTCAACTGCTCGCCAAATATCTGTGCGGCAAACATATTGAGCTGTTAGTCGCTCAGTCGTGTAATTCTCGTGATCTAACAGCCCACCACTTACCTGCGACAGGAAGACGAGGCAACGGGAGGCTACATCCGCGAGTTCATCATTCGTTCGACTCTTTGCAGTATCCTTTTCGGGTGCTACGTATTCGGAGTGTCCATTCATTTTACGATCAACGTCGCTCGAAGTGCAAAACTGAAGCATCAACGGCCCACAAGCAACCAGCTCATGAAACCCCGCTGGAGCTGGTGATCGTCCTGATTGTCGGTTTTTTTCGAATTGGTGGTGAAGCAAATTCAGCAGGATTATCGACAAATCTAGCAGATTTCCATCTTGCTCTTTGTGTTTCGAAGCGAATATTAATCCAGTAACCACACTCCTTGTTATGCCTGACTCGTACAGTAATTCCGAGCGTACATCAGCGGAATCCAGAAGCATTTGGACGAGTTGCGTAGCATGTGAAGGTAGCGACTGGAACTCGTCCGGTACCTGTAATAAACTCATAACCGTGGGTACAATGTTCAAGTCCTCTACTTCTCCAAGGAGAGAAGAGTCACTAGAGAGTAAGCCAAACATTAATTCACTTGACAAGCTCCAAACATCTTCGACCACACCCATCGGACTCCTGAACAACGTGTTAAGATGGGGGAAAAGTATCGATCGAACGAATGGATCGAAAAACTCGTAGTCACCATTGTCATCATCGTAGTCGAAATCCAGCAGGACAACGTGAAGGATCCGAAGACAATTCACCGCAGCACCCTCAGATTCTCCATTTACATGCTTTACAATAGCAGGTAACAACTGAGTGAACAGCATTTGCTTCTCCACTAACACAATATCGTTCGTCTCCTTAGCTGCGAGTTCGAACAAGTCCACTAAAATCTCCGACACATATCGAGCTACAGTCGTTTTATCAGTGCTCCCTGGTATGACCAAAATCTCATCAGGAAACGACGTAAGTAACTTGGCCATCAGGCGTAGGAAGAACGTGTACTGCTTGCTGTCGTTTGCCACGAAATAGTTTAACAATTGTTGTCGGCAGTTTGGATTGTGTAGCAGTCCACCAAAAAGCTGGAACGGGATTGGCGATATCCTAGGGGATCGATTCTCTGTGTTGTTGCTACTCGTGATCTCACCATCACCATTTTCAGGCGTAGAGAAGCACACTGCTCCGAGTTTTAAAGCCATTCGAATCGACAGCTTGCACACATTCATCGCACACTGCGCGAGGTACATTTCAAATGCAGATAGCTTCTTTTCCGGCGATATTGACCCGGGATTGTTTTCATCTTCACAGAGCTGGTCAGCGATGGGGTCAATCACTTTTTCCACAATATTTAGGGATTCATACTGCACAAATGAGAGTAGAAAGCTGCGATTCAACTGTACACCCAAGTGGATCATGATCAATCCTTTCGCTCGCAACGTAGAAAGACTATCGTCATCAACATCATCTCCTCTCGTGCTCGTATCAATCTCCAAAACTTTACATATTGTCGGGAACGCCACGACACGTTCCAGCAGCAACGTGCGGCTTGACTTGATCGCAGCCGCTTCTGCTTCTCTTTCAGTACCAAGCTTCATGTCCAAAAATGAGTTTATAATGTTCAACGATGCGATCGCCAGCTCGGTAGATTCTTTCATACTTTCCACGCCTCGCCACACTGCATTAAGGATGTCCGGTTTGGCAAAGAACAGCATTATCGATCTCTTCAACCGAGACGAAAGACTCGCAGTTGAAGACGGAGTGCGAACATGTCGTAACACCTGCGCTAGCGCCTCAGTTGTAGCTGTTCGCAGCGCGATAGCCACGTTTAACTCTCCATTTTCATCTTCTGACACCGAGGTCGCGTGTTGCAGCAGGCCTCGCATTAACGTCAACACAATTTTCTCGCTAATCAGTCGGGATAGCAGGGAATCTGTGCACTGAATCAGCATATTGCCAAGCGTCCTCACCGCATAATAACGGAGTACTACATTCGTATCTCCTATACATGCAAGCACAGTGTCCACGCCTTCCATCGGTAATTCCCACTCTTGTTGTGTTGAAATGTAAAAAAGTAATTCTCCAAGACACGCGAGAGCTAGAGGGCGAGGTTGTAACCCTTGAATGTCGGTACTGTTCTTGTTTTCAAGACCATCAGGGCGGACAATAACTTCCAATAGTAACTTCACAAGCACCTGCAATTGATCCGGCGAAGACGGTGCAATGAAGGTAGCGAATCGAAAAAGAACGCCGAGCACAAGACACAGCATTGAAATTACGGTCTTGTTCGGAGTAGCCAGTCGGGCTTCATGCGACAGCATTCGAATCAAAAGCTTAAGAATTGAGCTATTCACAATCACGTGAGCCAGTCGAGCGTGGCAGCTGAGAGAGAATAAATACGCCATGACACTAAGTTTCGCTTGGTCATCCGAGTGAGAAAACTTCAAACTGATGTAGATCTCTTTCAGCTGATTCTCCAAAGCCTCAGCCGAGCACGATAGTAGATTTTCTGGAGCTAAGAGGGGGAACCGGAAAAGATCTGCACGGACCTGCGGTAAGTCTTCGATCTGGACGTTTTTATTTCCGATGATAGACTTTACACGGCAATCTGCAGCAGTAAAAACCAGCTTGGATATCTTGCGGAGCCCACTGCCAGGTACGCCACTTCGATCGAACAGGTTGTTTATTGATATCCTCCTTTTTGGGGCGTTCCGAATAGCAGGAGGTGCAGAATGAGGTGCGTGAGCAGCTCTCCAGCGATGTCGGATATCAGTCAGTTGACTGACTTCGTTCAAAACACCATTCTGGTCATCGTTGAGGTCTTCATTGTTGTCCGGTAGAGCGCGTATTCGTGAGTTCGGCGCGCTGACAGGTCGTACGTCATCATGAGTGGCTCTTGAGGTGATATCTAAGCGAGTGGCTTCATTTGGTGTCTGATCCGCATCTGAATCTCCAGAATCCGAGAAGTGAGTTTCATCATTACAATTGTTTCCTGTTGTTGTCTCCTCGATTCCATTCACGTGCAACCCTCCAACGTCATCTGCATTAGCCAGGCTGCTGTCACCATTATCCCTATCTTTTTCACGTTCGCTAATATGACCGTTGTCGTGAGGTTCTTCAGGGTTGTCAAGACCATTTGAACCGTCATTGCTGGTAACCTGCTCACTGTTCAGACCAATTTAAGCTGACAAACACTATACAGATTTATATCGCGCAGAAAAGCTTACCACACGGGCGAGTTTCTATCAAATATTTCCTGCGGAGGCATCACCACATTTTGGATGCGAGGTAAACCATCCCAAAAAGGGTGAACAACTAGCTCATCCCTGGTCGTAATTCTTTGGTCAGAAAATGACTGTGTTCACTGAACTCAGGTATGTCAGACGCACCAGGTGATTCGCTGATAAGGGTCTTTCACTAATAACCGCTCTAATAGCTTGCAAAATGCAGGCGACATTTCGCATCCAGGTACTGGGAATTCCACCGTTTCCGATTGAATCTATCTCAAGCACACAGAAAGTATGATCGGTTAACGCGCAGTAGAGTGCATACGTCGGAATGTTCTCGTTACGTACCCTTCGTGCCAACTCTGAAAAGTTAGTATGTGTAAATGGTTGCCGGCCTGTTCTGAGTTCATACAATACACAGCCCTAACGAACAAGGTATAATCGTTAATTACCCATGCAATTTATAAGAACGGAGGTTAATTGTACCAATGCCCAAAAGTCTGACGCAAAGCTGTGCACTGCAGGTTGCTGGAATAACTCAGGCGCCATATAGTGAGGTGATCCTGGAGCAAGCTACGCAGAACACATCGTGTCAAATAGCCATTTTAATAACATAAATCCGAGATACTTGTCATACTGGTCGTACGGGTGCTGCATCACTTCCTGGAATGCGGCGTGCCAGTCCAAAATCCGCCAGCTAGCGCACAAATAATAATAATATATATAATTTGCACGTATGAGCTGCACTTATGACAGCCACGAACCTTAAGTGATCCGAATTCGTCAATGAGAATATTCGCAGGCTTCAAATCGCAGTACAAAATGCTATTGGAGTGCAAATATTGCAGCCCAGCAACAAGTTCGATCCCAAACGACTGCAACATGATACCCCACACATCAATAAACGCAACAACCAGTAAAATAATTTCAACGTTGTTGCACCTGGACGGCAGACTCTGGTAGTTGTTTGTCCTGTGTGATGAGGTTGAGCAGGTCGCCGCCCATGCAGTATTCGAGGATGAGCCAGATGTGGTTGGACGACTCGTACCAGTCGAAGAATTTGAGTACGTATGGACTCTCGAGCTTGTGGAGGAATGGGACTTCGTTCAGAATCTACAGTAACGACATATTTCGTAGCATTATTATTATTTATGGGTTTTAGTTCTTGCGCTCTTGCTAGCGCGCACCTTGTCCATGCGGCTCTTGGCCGTGGACTTGACGGCCACGTACTCGATGCTGCGCTTGCGGCGCGCCTTGTACACGAACGAGTGCGTGCCGCGTCCGATCTCGTCATATATGTTGTAGTTTTCCATGACAAAAAACTACTTAACCGTACAGTCGACAACGAATTGACAATCTGCGGCGTTTAATGCATGGAAAAAAGATACGATGTGGTAGACACAAATTGTGCGGCTTTGTTTGCCAACTTATACCACCGGGTAGAAGTAGTTGAAAGTAGTTGACATGTGAACAGGATATTATCCATTTTTCAGAAGGCTTTAGCCATCGCTTGTTGGGATCACATAACTCTCCTTCTTATAAGACGTGCTGACTTGCAATCCTTTATGTTGGATTTCCTTTTGAGTGATTTCCAACCAGAAATCACTCTCAAGTCCCGCAATCCTCCGCCACAGGACTATCTACCAGCAGTTACATGTATGAAGCCTGCACATAGCAAGAAGAGCTGCCAGTAATACTATCCTTACACTGCTTGTATCGACGTAAACTACAGCTTTATCTTTCCTTTCACCATCGCCGGATCCGGCCATTCTCAATTCTGGCTTTAACTTGGAAGAATTCTTCTCGGAAATGGTGGCCGCTTCGACTAGGCTAATCTTGTCGATGGTACCAGTACGGCTATTGCAGTGCAGCACAATTGTCGCTTGTAGCAATCGCTTGTAGCAACGTCCACAAACGTTATCAATCCACTTCAACATCACTAATCGGGAGTATTCTACAAAAGAGGATTCACGGTATTGCGGATCCTTGGCTTAGAAAATTTAAGTCATTTTTCCATGTGGGTTCCGCCTTCTTTTCTTCCCTTTCTTTTCGCAGAGCCAAAAATATAAGAAAGCCGAGAACTACGCCGGCCGACATTCACCACCTCCCTGCGCCACCTGCACAACGTCCCACAGAACATCAACTAGGTACGTGCATGCAGCATCCAGTGGTCTTCCTCCTCCCACCAGTTGCACGCTTCATCGACAACTACAAGCCTCAAATCAAGCGTGTCAAGTTTGCCAGCATATCACTCCCCCCCTCACTAATTTATTTTATTTTACATAATGCAGTACAGCTATTGAACCATGTCGTACGCCTACCTGTTCAAGTACATCATCATCGGCGACACCGGTATGCTATTGTAGCTCCCATGAATCAACTACACACATGAAGATCCACTCACTGACCTTTTGGCCATCCACAACAGGCGTGGGCAAGTCGTGTCTGCTGCTACAATTCACGGACAAGCGCTTCCAGCCCGTGCACGACCTCACGATCGGCGTCGAGTTCGGCGCGCGCATGATCAACATCGAGAACAAGCAGATCAAGCTCCAGATCTGGGATACGGTACAGAATATCTGTCGATTCTGAGGTAAGTGGTGGATTTTTAACGCTGATTTTGGACATTTTCAGGCTGGACAAGAGTCGTTCCGCTCCATCACTCGCTCGTACTACCGTGGAGCTGCCGGCGCGCTGCTGGTGTATGACATCACCCGTCGAGAGACGTTTAACCACCTGACGAGATGGCTGGAGGAGGCCCGACAGAACTCCAATTCGAACATGGCTATCATGCTGATTGGCAACAAGAGCGACCTGGAACACCGTCGCGCTGTGAGCTTCAAGGAAGGAGAACAATTCGCCAAGGAAAATGGCCTCATCTTCCTCGAGACGTCAGCCAAGACCGCTGCGAACGTGGAAGACGTAAGCGGCAATTGCTAGGAATAAGGGATGAATAACTGTACTAACTCATGCTGATCCATGCAGGCTTTCGTCAAGACGGCGTCCAAGATCTACTCGAACATCCAGTCCGGCGTTTGTGATGTCACTAACGAGGTTGGTACAATCGCTCCAGACGAGATAACTTAAGGACAATATCTGACATCTTCTGGATTTTTGTGGCAGGCACATGGCATTAAGGTGGGCATGACGGGCTCCCCAGGTCCTGGTGGCTTCGGCAACTCGAACCCGCCTGCTAACCGAGGTTGCTGCTAAAAAGCACTTCATAACCTGTCGAGGAAACGAGGATGTAGGATTCAGATCGTTGAGTCCCGAGTTTAAGAGCTTTTCCCCCTAAACAACAAACATGCTGATGCTTATCAAAAACACATAATTTTTACATAAAATTCTAACAAAAAATAGTTATCAGGGCAAATGACTTCGACGTGGCTAGTGGAGCTCTCAGAGGAGGTTCTGGAGGTGTTGGAGCTTGCGTTAGACGTGGAGTCGTTGGTACTACTCTCAACGACGTGTCGGTCACTACTGGAGGCGCTACGGCCGCTCATTGAGGCGCGATGCAAGCGCGAGAGCTTCACCACGTATCTATACCCGACAGTAGCGTCTTATCGAATGCAAGCGGCCGTTCCAGCCACTTGGAGACAATTGTATGCAGCTTTTAGCCTCAAGAAGTTGAGATGGGAAGCATGTAGAAGTGAAGGGACATCGTCGTCGCTACGGGCGCTAAAATCCGACAACCAGGAGTACGAGATCGACTTGAGCGCCACTTTTGTACTCCGTAGTGGAGGCCACTACTGGTTCAGTGTATTGCAAGCAAGAATATCCGATGCAACGCTGGGTGGAGAAGAGAAAAAGGAATCAGATGCGGCGACTAAGACCAAACGGCCAGATTCGTTGCCATTTTTGCAGTCTCCACAGCAAATTACGATAGATAAATGGGTGAAGATTCGAGCAGTGGGGAAAGGACCGTGTCCAAGACGGAATCACTCGATGACTTGCTTACCGAATGTATTTTGTTCTCGCGAGCTTATAGTGAAGTCGGATGTGGAGGAGGAAGAAGAATTAGTGAATGTGCGGCGAATATTTTTCTTTGGTGGCCAGTCGGAAGGGATTCCGTTTGAGGCCTTCGGTGATCTTTACCTGCTCTGTATCGAGGAAATAGATGAAAACACGTCGAGGAAGGGACATAGTGCTTGGGTTGAGCCTAATGTAACGGGACAAGCGCCATCGCCACGGTGTGGACACACTGCCACCTTACTGTCGCCAGACTTGTTGATGGTCAGTGGTGGTAGCACGGGAGTATCGCCGATCTTGACGATGGACGTGTTTCTCTTGCACATTGAAGGCTGCGCTGGTGAGTGCAGTACTATGGCAAACATTTGAAACGCGCCCTTACTTGGAGATTAATATGGTTGCTGTGATTTTTATCAGATTTTCGATGGTCGAGGCCATCGTGCAGCTCCAGGATACCGACAGGTCGATCACTGCACGATGCATATCGGTACGTAAAAATCTTACAGTGCTTGTACTTTTTTGCTCAACAGAAAACTCACTTTTGTCTTGCAGAGTCTCCGAAAGTGAAGTGATCATCTATGGAGGACGTCAAGTAAGTTATACCATCCATTATGGTACAAGTTCGAATACTCCGACTAATGGTGTTCTGGATTTTATTGACAGATTCGACAGTCCAATGGCTTGCTAGACATACATAAGCTGCAAGTCACCCGCGAAGTAGACGACTTGGGTTATACTCAGTTTTCGATCAAATGGTTAGAGCCTCGACTTTCCGGGTCGCTGCCCTGCTCACGGCGCGGTCATAGTACAAACGCAATCGGCCCAAATCTCCTCCTTTTTGGAGGTCAAGACGAGTCAACCGGTCAATTAAAGAACGACATCCGTGTGCTCAACATTCCGCGACAGACCTGGAAGCGTCTAGATGTGCCTGGTGAGTCCCCATGTCCTCGACGTGGCTTCAAGAACCAATTTTTCGGCACAACTCTCGTTATCTCCAGCGGCTTCGTGCGCTCCACGCTTTTAGGAAAAGTTGACCACCAACTTCCAGACAGCGATGTCCACGTTTTGTCACTGTTGTAGCGTTAGTTAGCAGTGAAAACTTAGTGCCAGCATTGACGGAATCGGTTTTAACTGTTAAAATTAAAATTTTGACAAAATCCGTATGCATGCACGAATGTCAAGTTAGTAATAGCTTGACGTTAGATTCTTTTCTCAGATTCCAAATTCTCAAGATCTAAAACCATGGCCACCAAGCAGATCTACCGATTGTCGCCTTCTCTGAGCAGCTTACTCGGCAAGAGCGAGCTCACACGCCCCGCTGCCATTAAGGAGTTGTGCGTAGTTTCCGTCTACAACCCTTATTGCGTGTTCACTAGCTTACCACCCTGTTTTGTCTTCACTAGTTGGAACTACGTGAAAAAGCACGACCTGCAGGACCCGAATGACGGACGAATGATCCATCCCAACCGAGAGATGATGAACGTTTTCAAGGTGGAGGAGATCAAATTCACGCAGGTCATGGGCCTGGTCTCCAAGCACTTGGAGAAGGTTGACCAGTAGTTGAAGAGTGGAGATGCGGCAGCTCCGACGGACACTATTCACATCACGGAGCTTTGAGTTAACTTTTATAATAACTTTGCTATATGTCAACATCCGTTTCCAACGCTACCCACGACCGAAATGTTACGTGAAGGACTTTTTCAACAACGCGATCGAATCTGTTCCTGACAAAGCTAAATTGGTCAATTATTGCAGTGGCAACAATTTCCACCATGATGCGATAAACAAACTGTATGAGTTACACTGCTACAGCTCCGACTACCGTGTGCGGGTTTCGGTGAGTTTGTACGTGGCATCGCGTTTCGTAGACGAATATGGGGGACAAGTCATTCTGGACGAGATGACTCGTCTCAACACGTCACAGTATCGTCCGTTGCTTTGAAATGTTGTTTTTTTTTTGCTTCTATTGCCACAAATACAGTGACGAAAGCTCTGCCGTTTGATCCGAAGAAATGATCGAAAAAGGTGAACGATAAACCCACAGCAGAAAAGAAGTCGAATGAAGGGGGCTATGATGTTGTGTGATTCGACTTAGCAAAACAGAAGTCATCTTTATTCGAATGACCCTATCGGAATTTCGAGATGAAGTGTTTTGACGAAGTGCTAAAACATGTAGGAATGGAGAATCTTTCCAAGGTGATAATTTAATGCGTGGTCAATTGTTTGATATCACATGAAACATCAAGCGTCCTACAAATCCATTTTGGAACAGTTCGATGTGAGTCGGGCTCGTCCAGAAGATCGTCATATTTTAATAAAAGTGCAGGTTTTTGAAGGTGGTCCAATTTTGTAGCCAGTATGGTATTTGAAACAGCACTACACTGAGTTCTCCATAATATCATTGCTACTTTGCCAAGATTCAACCATTAAATCTCTGTAGTGAGTACTCCTTCGTCATCCAGATACGTCTCAGGACCCAATCGATTGCTTTCATCTTCATCGTTGGTGTGCTGCTCAATATCTCCCGAATTTCCAACACTTGCACGACGTTCTTCTTCAGCAAGCTCCATCTCGCGACTCACTGACAGTCGCACTTCGTCCATCATGCGATCCATGAAGCGTTGACTTTCCTCAGAAGATAAACTCCGCCCACTAAGTAGGTCGTCTGGTGGCATGAGATAATGTTGGTGCTGATGAGTTGGCGAAGACAGTGGCTGGTGTGTAGGGGGATCCACAGCACCGCCCGTGTCCTTTACTGGCGCAGATTCAGCTCCAATGGACGTCTGCACTGGAGTAGTGAGGGTTGCGCTGGTGGATCGCCGCTTGACCTTCTGTGAGCGCAGCGTGCGGCCACAAAACTGGCCAGCGAAGAGTTCAAACGCTTCTGTAGATATCTGCGCCATACTCTGCATGAACTCATCCAGCGCTCGAGAGTACTGCATGTTCTGCTTTCCAACACCACGACGTTCCTTGTCCTTCACCTCCACCATGCTCTTCATCAATCCTTCGAAAACTGGGTGCGATTTGAAGTGTCCAAACACGCCCATACGAGCAAAGCGCAGCCAGAAATGCACTTGCTTCACTCGTTCTGCATCAACGTCACTGTTACCACCAGATCCTGGAGACACCATACGCTTGACAGTCTGGTAAAGCCCACGAAAGGCCGAGTTCTTGGACAGTTTTCGCAGAAAAGGATCGCTTTCAGTGTACACACTGGGCACGTATTTGATGTTTTCGAGTTTCTTTGGCGCTTTGGAGCGACTGAGCACACTGCGGAAGTTCGGCACCGTGCGTAGGTCACGGCATGCACGACATACGCCGTGGCTTTGATTCCCACGGTTCTGGTTGTCGGTGGCTGGTACAAATCGCTTGCAACGCAGACTTCGGACGCAGCGACCCTCCTTATCCACACGCCACAGACACTCGCTAAATACAGCATCTTGTAGCATTAGCCGCTGTTCTTCATTGAGCTTGTCAACGATGCGAACCTTCTCGTCGTTTCCGAACACCTGCGGGAACAACTCGCGAGCAATAACGTACCGAGGTCGACTGCCTCCGACTAATTGAACGGCGTTGGACACGTAGGCCTGCACATTTTCATCGCGGAGGCCAGTGCATGGAACGTGGTCCGTTGGCATTACCGCCTCATCACTCGTGCTGATATCCTTGCCGTCGGAAGGTGCTAGCTCGGAGAGGAACGCCACTGCAGCTGGATCACTCTCCATTTGCTCTTCAGCGTCCACAGTTTCTTCGTGATCCTCTCTGCCAAGCGCAGTTGAAGTTAATTCAGAGACCGAATCAATAGCAACGTCGTTGCGCTTTTCGGTCTCTGAGCGACTTTGTTGGATTGTTGGCAACTGATAAGACTCGGATGGAGTCGCCGAGTTGGCTGCAGACGCGGTTGCCTCACTGTTACTGGATTGGGTTTGCATTGCCGAAGAGGTGGGAAATGAGGTCAAGTCGACGTCTTGAATGTCACCGATAGATAAATGAGGCATACTGAGACCAACAACGGAAGGATCCAGCAAGTGCACGAAGCCATCGTCGCTTGTAGCACGCACTGCAGTCGAACTCGATGTGCCATCATAAAGTGAGTCGCCTGGTTGGTCCTGTCCAGTCTTGATGGTTATAGGCTGCAGCTTACGCTTATGAGGTCTCGATGTCGCTGCCAGCAGTTGCCTTTGCTTACGCCCACCCAAATGCCGCTGAAACAGCTCACACGCTTCTGGAGATAAGTCAGCAAGCGAGCGCATAAACGAATCGAGAAGATCACTGTACGTCATGTTCTGTAACCCCACGCCTCGCTGCTCCTTGTCCTTCAATCGTACCATCGCCTCCGTTAGTCCAAGTAGCGCTGAATGCGAATCAAAATCGCCTGAAAGTCCCATTGTAGCCATCTCCATCCACGTGTTCAAAGCGATGGGGATATCTGCGAGTGCCAAATCGCGCAGCACTCTGGCGTAAGGCTCCTGCATGTCGAACTCAGCTTCAAGCAGTGAACACACGCGTCCCGAACAAAACTTCCTGTTGATCGGGTTGCGTGGCGGTCCCGGACGTGTTGCCACTTTGTATTTTGCAGCCGCAGCTGTTCTCAACACCGCGTTACTACGAAGTGCCGTACAAGACGCACATCGATCTTCCCCTTTACTTGACTCCACGACACCGAGACAGTCCAAACTGCGCACTGAGTTGCCATCCTTATCCACGAACCACAGGGCCTCGCCTTCAATAACATCGTGTAGTAACAGTTTTTCCGCCTCAAGAAGCTGCTGGAGCTTCGGGTGTCGCTTGTGTGTTGTGCTTGAATGGTCCAGATCTCCATTACCTGCTTCATCTGCATGATCATACTCCGCGTTGTCCGGAAAGAGATGCGGGAAGAGCTCTCTTGCAATTTTCTGTCGATGTCGTGCACCTCCTGTCAGCTGAATCGCAGACGTCACAAACGTGTTCATACGTTCATCTCTCAGGCCTGGGCATGGCAAAAAGCCACGTTCTCGAGCGACATCCCACCGGATTTCGCGTGGGAAGCTCTTCTTGCTTTTATATGCCTGTAACAACGCACTTGCGGACGTGGGTGGTCTCATCAATACACCTCCTGAAATCATCGTCCTCATTGCTGGCGAGGTCGCTATCCTTTTCTTCTTCCACTCTTCATTCGCCACGGCAGATGCAGGTTTCGCTCGCTTCTTTGGCTTCTGTTTGTCTGCTACGTGCATTAAAAACTGCCCAGGCTGCCACGGAGCGCCGAGCAGCACTATCCTCGCGCATTTACACTCTACAAATTTCCCATCGGGTGTAATTCGCTTAAAGTGTGGGTTCTCGCGTAGTGTCATCGCTCCTTTAAACATCCTAACGCGATGGTCGGGGGAATCGTCAGAAGGTGGCTCAATATGTCGCTGGTCATTATGTACCACTCCAAACTCTCGACGGAGTATTGCGTCCACTGACTGCAGCGAATATTCTCCAATATTTTCGTCGTCATCATCGATTTCGGCTTCCTGTGTCTCCTGGTCATCTGCATCTCCTTTTCTTGTGTCTTTATTCTCCGGCCTCTTCCTCTTCCTGGGTCTACTTTGCCTTAAAAAGGTGCAATTCCTGCTGGCCACGTGCTGCTCGAACTTAAGAATGTACCACGGCGGATTCAGTCGCACACTGCGTCCACATTTGCAGCCGACTGACCTCCCGTCCGAGGACACCGAGGCCACCACTGGATGCTCCTGCAGCACCTGCATCTTGTCCTCTCGTCTAGAATAATATACAGCGCCATTTTTCAACTCCTCATAGGCGCTGCGCTTCGTTTGTGTCCCTGTTGGTTGCACGGCGGCACTGAATGCGCCGTTCCTGTCGATTTGTAGTGTGTTGAGCTCCAGATTCATGTCCATTCCGCTCATGGCCATGTCTGCAAAGGCCTCAGCGTTTAAGTCCTGCTCGTCACCCTCCTCGATGACGCTCAGCGCGTTGGCAGAGTCATCACGCTCCATCGCTCTACAAGTGAATGCAACTTGCCAAGCGGCCACTAATCAACATTGCAAACAAGCCGCTTAGTGTTTTTGTCCAATCATTTCAATAGATCAGTTCATTGTGACCATAAGTCAAAGTGGATTTATGGGCTCCCAAAAATGAATTTATAGGTACCTTGACATCAAAAAGTGAATAAAGGAGCACCTTCAATAAATATTAAAATTCAGAAATAATTGACAAACTCTGATTTGAATTCGTTTTCACCAAATCTCAATTGTACAATAAATATTTCAAAATTAATATATCTAAAAATATGTTTAACAATAATTGTTTGAAATAAATTTTAGAAGAAATGGAGATCAAATTATTGTTCCGAAACAATTGGCAGGGAATAAAACATTGATAAACTTTACTTCCTCCGTTTAATAATATTAGGGCATTTGGACAAAACGAATTGTGGCACAGACAATACTTTCCCGATTAGCGCGTGACTTGTCCAATCAAAAGCTCTTGACGCAAGCTTTCGGTAAATCTTTTTTTGTGACATGAATCCAAATATTCATGTCTAGGCGACCTTCCGAAGCCACTCATACATCCCATTCACTTTCATGTTAACCCGTTACGCCCAAGCAAAATAGCTACAGTAACGGGACAATGGGCAAGAGAATCTTAGATGACAACTCACGACGCGCTATTTTGTTGCAGCTGCTAAAGGTCAATGTGAGCGGAGAATTGCCTCATAGAGCGAAGGCATCGCAAGGATGTTTTCAGTTGACAGGCACACTGTAGACATAATCTGGAGACGCTACTAGGGTGCTGTCACGGCTGGCGACTTGAGTGGCAATGCAGCGAGCAGGTACAAGGGAAATCCAGGTCGTAAACAATGCGATCGCACTGCTGTCGAAGCTATTATCCGTGCTGTGCCGCCCGAGAAGCGGTCCAACTATAGACAAACAGCCGTGATTCTTGGTCTTGCTGTTGGCCTCATCTTCAATATGATGACCAACAAAGAGATTGTTGTGCGCACTACCACTATTAAGCTGGTCCTGAAGCAGGCTAATCGACAGCGCAGGATGGAGTGAGCCCTAGTTTCGTGGAGTCTGAGCCAAGTTGTAATGGAGAAACAGAAAGGCATGCTTTCGACCAAATGCTTAACGCAGCCCATATCGACGAAAAGTGGTTTAACCACGACAAGAAGACACGTTGATACTTCATGCTGCCCCATGAAAAGCCATCAGACCGCCATCTTCAGAGCGCACGCCACGTGGAGAAGATCATGTTTCTTGCAGCCGTCGCAAGGCCCAGGTAGTAGCAACTTATTTAATTACCTCTTAAAATCTATATAATATTCCAAATAATATGATTTGAAATGTTACAGATATGACCCACACAGAAAGACTCGATTCAAACGTAAAATAGGTTTGTGGCTGTTTTCAGCAGAATACATCGCTCGGCGCAACAGCAAGAATAGGCCAGCAGGAACTAACTTGGAACGCACATTAAAATTGTGGACAGCAAAGTCCTGCTAGACTTCGTTTTCCCGCATAGCTCCATGTGATGCTGATGTCGTTCGTGAGGGGCAAAGTGGTGGCTGGAATACGTTCTCACATGCCAACCACCAAATTCACCTGACCTGAACTGTTTAGATCTAGGGTACTTTGCTGCTATCCAGAGCCGGCAGTATGAAACTTACGTCAGAATCACCAATGAGCTGATCACAGTGGTTAAGGAATCATTTAGAAGTCTTCACATTGATACACTGGATAAAATATTTATCACTGTACTGCAAGTTATGAAGTGTATTCTTAAGTGCCAGGGCGGCAACGGTTATAAGCTTCCCCATATGGGCAAAGCAAAACTTTGCCCCCAGGGCATGTTACCAGAATACCTTGTTCTAAACTCCGAAGTGTGTCAAGAGGCGCAAGCGCTGGTGTTGATTAGCAAGCTATAAAATAGATCTTTTACTTGGTAATATCCGCAATAAACGATTACTACAACAATTATCATGTTTGATGTGAATCGACCTCACGATTTGACCATCATTCCGAAATGCCCCTAGTTTTATTGAACGGAGGAAGTATTTATTCAATTTTACAAAGTTTAGCAGTATTCTATGCAACCACAACAGCGACCTAAAGCTCACTAAAGCTATTGCATTCAGCTACACAACAAACCTCTAGTGCCCCTGCGACCATGGTCTTATTTTTCGCTCTTCTATCAGCCGACTGGTATCTTGCCTGAATTGGGCTTTCGTCGAACGTATCAACCCTTTCGCAACCAGCCGCTAATAGCGTCTAGTTACCTCTGAAGATGGACCGACCGAGCCGACAAGTTCGGTTGTTGTCACTTCGAAGTCACCATCGACAAAGCACGAACGGCCAAACGATCTGCATCGGACGAGTAATCGTGACAGATGGCATTGCTTTCTGCACGAATGCGAATGCATCACCATCAGACCCACATCGAGCGTGTACGCGATTACACAAGCGGCAAAGCAAACGTGCGCGTGGACGGACATCAACGACAAGAGCGAAATCAATTTCGTTCTAGAATGCGAGAAAGACAGCTACTTTCTGGAGTCTAACTACGCTGGAAGTATTTTCCATGACACAGTGTCCGTTGCTGCTGATGTGGAGCGAGTCCTTTAATCCCTGAAGCTCACCACTGTATCGCTGTCGACACCGACAGCACAGCGACAACCAGCGGAAGTGGTCCACATTGCAGAAGGAACTTCCCGATACTTCTTCCACGGGCGCATTTACTAAGTGATACGTCTGACTATTAAGGCCATGGTGGCCAAGATTAAGTGGATGGGAAAACTTATAGGAAAACAGCCGACAGATGGCGAAGCTCTTCAAGAAGAATCAGTTGCTCTTGGCGGAACTTCGTCAGCTCCAGGGTTTTGAAGGCAAACACGCACTGCTAATCTCCGCTGACAAGATATGGGCACCATTAAACAGCGCTTCTTAAATCTGAGAGCATCATCCTGTCAATGGTGAGCGGTCGAGATTTCCTCAAGTCAAAATCTAAGAAACAGAGGGAAAAGCGGCGAGTGGTGAGCAACTGGATCGCTAACAGTGCGTTTCTTTCGCATCTGAAGAATGCCATCCCTTTACTAGACTTACTGTTCGCAACCTATCTCGGATGTCTACAGGATGTTTCTAGAACTTCCTAAGAAGTACAGCAAGATAAACGTCAATCTCGGGTGTGGAATCACCCTCGCCATCCTAGATGGTCGCTTCAACATCTTTGACGGGGACGTCCATGGTGTTGCCTATCTTCTCGATATACGACAGCAAAAGAATGGAACGACAACACTGGAAACAGCTCAGCTGAATTCGTCTCCAAATAGCACAGACCAAATCACGAGAACACTGATAGTTGACGAGATTGTTGAGTACAATTAACATTTAGGAAACGTTAAAATCTACTAATTTAGTTAATCGTCACAGTCACTAGTACTGTCACGTACCGTTTCGTTTGAGCCTGTGCATACCAAAATCGTGTTGATCCCGCACATGTTGTTGCTCTTCTGCCTGAGCTATGGCCAGAAGCTCTGGTTGTGCTGCAGGAAACACTGAATGCCTGGACAATGGGCACGTAGCCATAAACTCGCGTGAGTCAATGTGATGCACCTTTCACAGAACCCTTGGCCGCTCTGTACACAGTGAACTAGGCTCACAGCTGGATCATAATCAATAGGGCATATTCTGCCATGCGATAGGACATTAAAATCTTCTGTTTGCAACTCAGGTGCATGCCGTGTCGCTGTAACTTCAATCCTCTGCGCGCGTCACCGATTGTCTCGCCAACGTTGGTTTCGGTGGTTGCGTTGTAGCTGATCAATCGCAGCCCGAGAGCGGGTATTGTAGCAGATACCTGGGCTTGGATGTCGCCGAACTGAAGACTCATGAGCAAAGGTGCGGTCACATCGAGGGCAAGTATAACCGGTCATAATCCTTTTCCAGTAATGTCTCAGCTCTATCTGCACTTACTTTTTTATAGCCCAATAAGTCCTGCCTAAAACCTTATAATATACGCCAAACCCCCAAATACCAAAATCCAATTTGCGAATCGTGCAGACTACATTATGCTGCTGATAGCAACACAAACCAAACACGTGTTGCATAGTGTATCCTGCAGAATGCTTATTTTAGACAGCAAACTTGAGTTTGCACCTCGTAATACTATGCCAAGCAGGTTCTAAGAATATGTGTTTTTGTTACGCCAGCAACTCTTGGCATAACTCGTCTTTTGGTGCAGCGTTGCGTCGCCGCGAATAAGTATCTTTCACAAAAATGTAACAAGTCCGCGCATCGCTCCGAATCGAGAAGGAACCAGATTTAATTTGGTAGCTAGTTTTTTCATGAAGTATTTTCTTTAAATAATGTAACATTTCGCGCACTTGCTATTTAACTCATTTCAATTACAGATTTTACATAATTTTAAAAGGAAATAGAATTCTTGCGAATACTATAAATTTATTTTTGAGTGTAGGTTACGCCTCTTCAAGACCACTACGGACTCCTTGGTTCTCCACGATGATGGCGCTGCGTGTGTCAGGAGTTCGTGAAGAAACGTTGGATATGGAGAGTCGGATGGAGCTGGACGCCCTGCACGCATCGCTGTCGACTGAAGATGACGCTAATTGGACTCCGAGTCATCTGCGTTTGTTGTATCTACTCTCTCGATTCGCAACGTATCCCAGCTCAACTGATGAGGAAGAAAAGTGGTTGCGTAGTTTGCCTCTTCAAGTTATGGTCTTTGAGGCCATTGTCCACGGTCTTCTAGCTTTCGATTATTCGCCTGTATGCACGAGTATCGTCAAGGACGGACAGTCGAAAAGACTGTGGCTCAACATGAGCCACGACGCTCGAGCAGCTATTGACGATCTACGGGAACACGAGCTGGTGAATGCCCTTAAGACTTGCAGCGAGGATTTCCAGCCGTCCACAGCCTACCAGGTAACGAAGGAAGGTATGACGGTACTCGCGTCATTGCCTCCTCGAGACAAGCAGCGACTCGACGAGTTCCTCACAGCGCCGAGATCTTCACTTCCTGACGTTATTTCGGCACCAGCGGAGTCTCCAAGACTAGGAACGCGTCCTATGCCTACTACCAACCCATCCGGCCTCGTTTTAGTGGAGAACCCGCTGTTCAAGATCACGTACGACCCGGATAAAGGGCATTTCCGAATTCGACGTGGGGACGGAAGTGTGTACATTTCGCGCGTCACAGATATCGAGGAGGTATCGTATGTGTCGAGTCCTTATCTCCCGTCATGTTTGATGAGAAATGGCACTGCCAATTTCTCCTCCAATGCCTGGCAAGCTGAAAAATGCCGCAAAGGGGCAGCGAGTGTTGGTAGCAGCAGTATCCAAGATGCTGATCTCTCTTTCGCCATTGTTTTGGAAAATGTTCGACTAATGGTGGGCGAGTGGATTCCGTTTGGACCCAACCAGATCGTCCTGCTAAACGACCGATTAGGATCTCTTGAACGCTGTCAGGGAGGACTCTTTACGTCCGAACTCGACGACGCACCAACGTCGACATCGTTAGCTATTGAACCGGGACTAACGAAAATTGCCATCGTCGATTTCGAGTTCGATTGTTTCACCAATTTCGAGGCAGATATCTACGCTCCAATTGAAGATGGCATCATTCAGATCGAGAGCTTTGGTATGCATCTGAATGGGGATGGCTCCATCGTCTACGGAATGGAAATCGACGCTACAATGGACCGCTCGGCAGATTTTCTGTGCGTCGATCACCTCGCTCGCCTTTTAGTGGATGTGGACTTGGATTCGTCTAAGATTATCAACGATTTATTGTCTTCACATCAGCGTGGGCTACTGGACATGCTGTTCATGGGCGACGCACGATCGAGAAATAAGTTCGCACTGCTCACTGCCAGTGGAATCTCACCGAAACTTCCTGCTCGAGCGTATCTAGATCGTGGTGAGAAAGAGAATGAGCTTAAGCAGGTTCTGGGAGAGCTGCATTCAGTACACGACATCGGTAAAGACGACAAGCTGCTGGTTGGACACGATGGGATGCTACTTGCTGGACCGAACGCCAACAAACACGAGCCATTGTTAGTTGCACACTTGGCTCTATTGTCACGTGAACTAGTTGTGCGGTTTTTCTTCAAACGAACTTTCATCCTGGGCGACGTATTGGCACGTGCTCGCAACTACATGACGAGCTTCGAGATGAATCCGGAAGCATTAGACGATATGCGGGATCGAGTCAGTCACTGTGCGCATGATCTCGTTCTACTGGAAGAAATCCTGGAACTTTTACGTGAATCACTCCGTGGATTAGCGCTCAATATCCCCTCGCGGCCAATACCGTCCGAAGATGACCCCACCGGGGCTGGTGCTGCGTTGTACGATCATTTGCAGCTTCGTAAAACCCACAAAGACTTGGAAATGCGCTGCAAAGACCTTGCCAAACTGCTTCGAGGCTTTCGAGCTAAGCTGAAACAAGTGCAAAGTCAGAACGGTACCATGGCAAAGATGATGCTTGAAGGGCTCGTCCTTGGAGTCGAGCGCAACGTGGCTGTGTTAGCTGAGGCAACGCGAGCTAACCAGCGCTCACTCAAGGGTTCTTTCGACTTATTACTGTTTATGTTCGCTGCTATTCTCGCTTTTGAGCTGCTGGATCGAATCACAGACGGAAATCTCCTTGGAATGGATAAGGCTACTGCCCCATCCCTTCAATGGATCAAGGATTTAGTGGTCGAAAACTTCATCGGCTACCCGGGACTCTGGTTCGTGATCAATATGATCTGGTTGGCGGTCGTAATTTGGCTAGTGCGAGCAGGAATTCGACTCGGATCTCGCCGTCTATCACGTACTCAACGCATGGTCTTTGCCAACGCTCCTCATCGTATCAACGTCGCTGCATTCGAGCAATTTCTACGAACCCCACTGGACGAGTTAGTCCCCGCTGACGATTCGTCTTCTGTTGCTCGAACGCGATGCTTCCGGAAGAGAGTCATCGAGTCGAGGAAAGCGAGTGTTCGAGGGTCAATCCGCGTCGTTAAAGTTCTGTGGAGTGAAGCAGCCGTCAGACCCAAATGCCAAACGTGGATGGAGTTCTTTACGCGCGTACGTCAAAACTGGGAGCAGTTCATCGCTCCACCCGTCCGCACCCAAGTTACTTACGACGCTACAAACGGGCTGCTGATCGATGTCATTGTCCATGTACGTGGACAAAGTACTATACATATTTCTCCCTCTTTGATGATTTCTGGCGTGAATTCTGTGTCGATCTAGGCCGGGTTAACGACAGACTGCGCCGAGATATACGATCAGCTCAAATGTCAAATGGAAAGGTATAGTTTCAGGGAATGTATCTTCACTTACTTGCTGCTTTGGTCGGCTTTTAACGTTTGTGTGCATATTGGCAGTGCTGGATGTTTTGATGAGCATTATACTCCACCGACCGTGTCCAAGCCCGAAGACTCCCCTCCAGACTCCCGTTCCCGTCGGGGGTTCTTCGTTCCCCGGTCAATTGCGCGATGGAACGCACCAGTGCACCCCACGCAAGGAGTGTAGAGGGTATTGTTCGAAAGTGCTTGCGATTTATAGGTCAGTGTCACCAACTACGGGCACTTTGATACGCATCATGCAAGCGAATCGATACGGTTTTCTCACATTCCATGTTAGCTACAGGTAAGTGGTTTCGTATAGTCAAACGTCTTTTCATGACCGTCGTGACAAACGACGATAGAAAACTACCAGAACCTTCGCTAACGTTTCACCAAAAGATTAGGGAACTTGTGTTGCAAAAATGGTTTGTCCACTACGCTATTGACCTACGTGGATAGGCCGGGGGAGGTATCCTTACTTTTTCACTAATATGCAGTGGCAAGGTCGGCAAAATGTTGACACAAACTTGCTTTATCGTCTGTCAGTGTTCCAACTCGGTGAAAACAACTCCGCAACTTGCGACAGCAAACAACATTTTTTTTTTCGAGAATGTTGAAACGAACAACGCCCCCTCACGTTGAACCCTCTTGAAATCTGGTTGCGTCGTGGTCAAGCAGATACCGTACACTTCGCCACTTTCAGTTATCTCCAGGCTCTCGCACGACCGAGGCCAATTCGTCTTTTCCTACTGCGTCACTGCGTTGGGTGCATTCCTGTCGCCATTAAGGATTTGAGTTGAGTGACTCATGTTGGACAAGCAGAGTCCGCGTCGTCGCGCATCCCAGCCCTTCACCACCTCCAGGTCGATCCAGGGAACGCTGCCACGTCCTTCGAGCTTTCTGCTTTCCGGCTTGAAATCCTGGTCGAAGCGGACGAAACACGAGAAGATGACTAAAAGGAAAGGTCGTCGTGATAGCAACACCAACTCCACGCGACGCGTTAGCGCAGGCTCGGACGAGGACATCGACGACAACGTCGTGGAGATACTCTCCATTCCTACTAAACACTCCACAGATCACAGCACTGGTAACGAGACGGGTGACGCTGAAATGTCCAGCTGGAAAAGTTCACTCCTCTGGAAGCGACTGGTCCCTAAAGCTCAAGCCGAAGCCAGCAATGTCACCGTCATGTACTCTATCTCGTTCTACCCTTGGAAGATGGAACCGCACTGCTATTATTCACACCCGGAAGCTGCAGCGAACTGGGTTCCGGATACGGCAAGCCCTCGCTGTCAGATTTGTCTAACATCTTTCACACTTACGCGTCGACGACACCACTGTCGGTTGTGTGGACATCTCGTGTGTGCGCACTGCTCTCACGACCGAACGTATCTACCGTTTGCCGGCTCAGCTCCGAGCCAACATCGACTTATTAAGGACGGTGCGCCACAACGAACCTGTCGCGCTTGTGCCAGTACACTACGCAACATGGCAGGACAAGACGATCCCCGTGTAAAGCGATTCACGGTAGCAGTCTGCTCGGCAGGTCGACGGAAACCCACTGCACCAATCTCTTCGCGATCGGTGGTTGAGGTGGAGGTAGAACGTCCGTCTCCGTGGTTGAGACGTACAGGGATGGCACTTACAGACAGTGAGATTGAGGACGAAGAGTTTTTTATTGAGTCCACGAAGGCGTTGCAACTCGATCAACGTTCTCGTGGAACTACACACCACTATCCACTCCGTCTGTCCGTCACTAGAGCTGAAGAACTTGACGAGATTTTGAGTGCACGAACATGTTCGCAAATGAAAGCAACATTGAACCAGGAACCGAGTGGTAGGCAGTTTATCATCAGTTCAGCGTGGCTTGACCAGTGGTTACAATATGTCCGTGTGGATTCAGTCAGCGATACTGCAGGGTCTGGTGAAACCCGTCGTAGCACGAAGTACCGCATGGCAAGACCTCCTCGACCTGGGCCTGTGGCCAACTATGTTCTCCTTGACTTTGTCAACGGTGAATTGATGCCAAAGAATAGCTTGAGACGAAGCCGAGGAAGTTACGGAGGAGGCGACTATCACGTTATTAGCCAAGATGTTTGGATGACTTTTCTGGAGCTTTATAGCGGAGGGCCAAGCATTCAAGTGTCTGTCAGTGAAGCCGATACCAGGACGTCTGGTATCCCAGGACGGCGACAGTGGATCATCACGGAGTTGGATGATTCAATCCCAGCACTTGCGAACTCTTCGAATGTTGAAAAGTTCTCCAGTGCCACAAGAATGGGAGCTAATAGCCGACACCGAACCGAGTTGAAAACAATCCGCCACCGTTCTACCGATTCGGAGCCCAGACCTCGTTCGTCTCAGGGAAACCGCTTGATCTCGGCATCTTCGATGCCATCGATGGGGAAAAAGACATCGAGTCATTTCTCTCTGCGCAGCGAGTCTTCTCGGTCGAGCTCATCTAGTCGGTTTAAAGTGTGGGAAGAAGAGAATTCTCGAGCTAATGCCGAGACGATGGTGAGTGAGAGTTCTGAAGGGGTGGCGTCTACCCAGCGAAGCAGCGAACGTGAGTCATGCGATACGAGTTCATCTTTGGCTGCAGTGTCGGTATTCGCTTCAGCAGCCAAGTTGGCTCGTCAGCGCTCAGCTGTCTCTCTATCCAAACATTCTGCTTTAGGCCGAACGAATGGCCTCGAAATGGATTGAAACCACAACAATAGGCTGTTGTACATCTGCATGTAGCTACCATTTAACAGAAAAGTATAAGCAGGTGTGACGTCGTGTATATGACTTGTATAAAGCGCAAGAATTTTTTTTTACAAAGGCGTGTTTTTGTTTACAATTAGCTGGGGAATATTAGCTACGTAAAAGCACGTAAAAGCGTGTTTACGAAGCGTGTTCAATTTCTAATGGCGTTGGCGGAATTTCGAGGAGTTCGAGCACGTCGTCATCACTAAGCACTCCCTCCAGAAAGATCTCTAGAGACGAGGAAGATAGCGGGGCGTCAAAACTAACGATCGCGGCTGGGTCAAGCTTCGAGCGCTTGGTGCTTCGCTGCAATTCACTCCCTTCGTCATCGTAAGTCATTTCTCCATTTGTTCGTTCTACCGGAACTTTGGCTTCAAACTCCTCTGTTAATGATAAATCGAGGTCGAAGCTCAAGTCCCAAGGTGGAAGATCTGTAAATGCTGTGTCGACACTGGCGTCCACGACATCAGAACGGTGGTTTACGAAGGACGGCAAATTCACTGAAAGAGGACCTTTCATCGAAGCTGCGAGAAGCTCCTCAGGTGTAGATTTTCTTGCTTCCAGAAGCGACAAACGACTGGAAATAGCACTCGCTTGTCGTTCTTCATCTTTTCTCTTCCGCGCACGAATACTCTGTGCGTGACTCAATACTTGACGTTCTGTTCTTGATCCCACATGGGCCGCAATTTGTTTCCAAGACCCGTAGCGATACATTTCGAGCGCTTCACAGTATCTCTCATGCTCATCACAACCCCAAATTCCGGATTTCTTCATCATTTCCCGAGGTTTTGCAGGCGACAGCTTCGCACCGCATCTTTCGATCTCCCTAGCAGCTATACGTGCGCTTTTCATACTTAAATCATCGTCTTCGTCATCATCGTGTGGAGGGGGTGCTGGTTTCTGGACTGGTCCACATAAGGGACTTCGTATTGGCACAAACTCGATAGACGATGAGTCGCCCCGAGCATTGGTGGAGATGGTTGGTTTGCTGCCAAGTGTGGGGCCTCGACAGATTTCAGTGTACGAAGAACGTTTTGGCTGGCGAAGACAGCATAATGTCAGCGCATTGACACACCACTTGAAAGACGCCTTGAACCAGTTCTGAATTCGGCTCTTATGTACTGAATCTGTAGCATAAGCGGGTGTTGAAGATCCTGGTTCCGTTGTCACCACCTTCACTCGAAGAGTTGAGAGCAAAATCTTCCTGGGTGGCTGCAAAGTATCACGCTGGTGTGTCAAGGTCCAGTTGACGTCGCTGCCTCGAGTCCAAGTGCTGCTGTTGCTACTACTTGGGCGGCTCATGTTTGGTGTTGGTCAATGGGGGAAAGGTTAGAAGTGATCAATGTTGAAGGAATGACACTTGCGGTGTGTATCCGGGAAAATCGTTCATTTTGGTACAATGTACCAGTTTAACCCATTGTTTCACACCGGATTTTTCCAACTTTTGGTAAAACGCAAGATAATGTGCTGGCATGAGGATTGGTTCGTTTATGTTGAACAACAGCCGTCATTCAGAACGACATCCGAGAATTCTCGCTTGTACCAGCTCGAAAGCACGGGATTTTGATGACTTGCTCCCTGTTGAGCGGTGCATTCCACGCCCTTCAGCTCGTTTCCTCTTGTCTCGAACACTTTATCTCGGTTCTAGTTCGAACGTAATTCGGGATGTTTTCCACGGGGGGGGATAAAGGAATAACCTTACTTCTTCACAACATCGTTCATATATGTCTGCGCTCCCACGATACACCTCTTTGTACTCGTAGCAGTTCCCAGACTCAGTTGAAAACACAGCAACCTCATTGCGTCCGTATTTATCTCGCTCAGAAGTGTAGTTATATTAAAGCGCACAAGTCACAACTTGGGATGTCTTGGCCAACTAGCAATAGAATAGATCGGTTGCATCACACAAGGTAGCTAGTACCCGCAGTATTTGCATCGTGTTCCTGGCGCCATATATATCGACATGAGAGCGTCTCAGCACACCACTTGAGCGCCGCCTTGAACCACTTACGGACTCGGTGTCGCTTCTTTGAAGAAAATTCGTCTAGTGAGCTGTTTGGTGAGGACGATTGCTCGATTATAGCTGCGTGAACAGCTCGTTGCCTTACGATAAATTGCCAGCATTGGATCCCGTAGCTCTTCACGTCGCTATAATTCTTGGTTCGGACATGATCCACGATCCGCTCGTACGGTCCGTTACGATAAATCTTTAGGCCCTGAACGAATCGGTTGTGCTCGCGAAGTGTCCACGACACTGGG